CCGGGAGCTACAAAGATGTATCAGGACCTAAAGATGAATTTCTGGTGGCCTGGTATGAAGAAAGATATTGCCGAATTTGTCTCTAAGTGTCTCATTTGTCAGAAGGTAAAGATTGAGCATCAAAAGCCTTCTGGTATGTTGCAACCTCTGGATGTTCCTGAATGGAAATGGGAGAGTATCTCCATGGATTTCGTAGTGGGATTGCCGCGAACACAGGCTAGTTATGATTCTATATGGGTGATTGTGGATAGATTGACAAAATCCGCACACTTTTTGCCAGTTCGGGTAGATTTCTCTGCGGAGAGATTGGCTAGGCTCTATGTGAAGGAGATTGTGAGGCTTCATGGGGTGCCTGAAAGCATTGTTAGTGATCGGGACCCGAAGTTCACTTCTCGCTTCTGGGGAGCATTGCAGGAGGCTCTTGGCACTCAGTTGAGACTGAGCACTGCTTATCACCCACAGACGGATGGTCAGACTGAGAGGACCATTCAGACGTTGGAGGATATGCTGAGGGCTTGCACCCTGGAGCAGGGTACTGCATGGGATCGATATCTCCCGCTGGTTGAGTTTTCATATAATAATAGTTTCCATGCTAGTCTGGGTATGGCTCCCTACGAGGCCTTGTATGGTCGCAGGTGTAGGACACCTACTTGTTGGTCAGAGGTTGGAGACACAGAGCGGTTTGGATTGGATTTTGTTCAGGAGACTACTGAGCAGATCAAAATGATTAGGGATCGTCTGAAAAAGGCACAGGATCGTCAGAAAAGTTACTATGATCTCAAGCATCGACCTCTAGAGTTTGAGGAGGGAGATCATGTGTTCCTGAAGCTGTCACCAGTTACGGGTGTGGGACGAGCCCTTGGAGTGAGGAAGCTGAGTCCGAGATTTATTGGACCCTACCAGATTCTTCGTAGGGTGGGACCGGTTGCCTACCAGCTTGCCTTACCTCCGCAATTGGCAAATTTACATGATGTGTTTCATGTTTCTCAGCTGAGGAAATATGTAGCTGATCCTTCTCATGTGGTTCAACCTGATAATGTTGAAATCCGGGAGAATTTGAAGACTCCTATTGGACCACTGAAGATACTTGAAAGAGATGAGAAGAAGCTGAGAAACAAATCTATTCCTATGGTGAAAGTCCAGTGGGAAGGAAGGACGCCTGAAGAGTCCACTTGGGAGCGGGAAGATGAGCTTCTCCGGCAATATCCTGAGTTTAAGGACAGGTACGTTCTTGATTTTGCGGACAAAATCGCTAAAAGGTGGGGTGATTATAATAGCCCAACTTAATTAATTAGTAAATCAAGTGTAATTAATTAATTAAGCATGTTTTACTGAGTGAAATTAAGTATAAGGCTTAATTAAATGAATCTGAGTCACTTTGGAGTTAAAAAGTGTACTCAGTGAAAATTAAGGGGTATAAATGGGTACTGGTGAAAGTGCCCAAAATATAAAAATAAAAATAGTAATATTCCTAGAATAATATTCCAGACTTTTGGGTAGAGTTTGGTAATTAATGGAGTTGAATAGATAGATGAACCGATACCCGCTTTTTAACCACTTAACAAAGTTAAGTGGCATAAAGTAAAAAGCAACCAATTCCCCTCCCCATTCTCCCGACGCCAGAAACAGAAAAGAAGGAGAAAGAAGAAGAAGGAGAAGGAGGAGAAAGGGAGAGAGAAGAAGAGAGAGAGGAGGGAGCAAATCCCAACCGATTGGAGTGATTCAAAAGCCTAAACCACTCTAAATCTCCTCCTCTTTCATAATCCTAGCTTTGTTTTGAGTGGGGAGCATTGTGGAGAGAGATATTACCCCTCAAAAATTCGACCATTTGAGTGATTTTGGGGTTTTGGGAAGTTCAACCTCCATGGGAGCTTGAGGAACACTCCTTGCTTGGTTGTGTGACCATTGGTGGTAAGATTCTAACCCTTGAACCTCATGATTCCTTGAAATTTGCATGAGTTAGGGTTTGTGAATAGTAAATTGGGATTTTTATGAAATGTAGTTGAATTAGCTATGTTCTAGGAAGAATGGAGTTTAGAGCATGTTGGGAAAAATGCTAGGAACGACATTTAATCGGTGGAAATGAGCCTAGATAGTCATTTGATAATTGTTCATAATATTGGAAAATTCATGCTTGGATTGGTTAGTATTCTAGCATGTTGAACAATTAGTAAGTTGAATGATTGATTGAATCCTTATGATGTCTAGGATTGAGACATTTGGACCAACCGTGAGTGATCAACCATTGGAGCAAGCTATGGAGCTTGAATAGCTCATTGGAATTGGTAAGCTCATACTTGAGTTGTGTTTTGAATTGATGGTTGATTGTGAAATACTCTTGGATGCAATGTGTTGATTGCATTACACCATGTGTAGGTGTTGGTTTTGGAGTAGAGTATTGTTGACATTGGTGAAGAACAAAGGTTGACTGAAGCATTGAGGTAAGCCTTCGGACCTTGGGTGTAATTCCCTTGACTGTTCTACCAAGCCCTGAAAGGGTGGAGGTTGTGATTGTGTATATAAATGCAATAAAATAGTGTAATGCTTTGTTATACGTATGTGTATGCATTTGGTGTGGCATAGGATGGTGTTTCCCTATGTGGGTATGTTGCATGACGATGCGTAAATCATACATGGTAGTTAGCTGGCCAGTAGGACTATTTGCATCTGAGTTTCCTTAGGACAGCTTGAGAGCTCGAGGGATTTCTCCTGGAGATGTATTGCACTTTGCATAGATATGTATTTACTGCATTATTATTGTTATTGCTATTACACTGATATGGAACTGTGGGGTGGAGAGATGCTCCAAGGACCCCTGGTTTACTGGATATATTCGTATATCTCACCCCGTGTTGTGGGGACCCCCTTTCAGGTAAGGATGCTGCAGGAGCCTCTGGTGGCAAGTGGCCATACCTAGATTATGCATGAAATATGGCACTTCTTTGAGTTTATGCATGCCTTTTGTAGTTGACATGTATAGGATTTTATTTTGAAAGCCCATGATCATTTGTATATCTTGATTCATTGGATGAACTTAGCCTATGCTCATGCCTTTGGTTACACCTTTTGTTGATGGGGGCCAAGGGAATGATCATAGTGTTTTGTAAGCTAAGTTCTATGATTTGTAAAGGATATGTAATGTAAATGATGCCTACTTGGAATTCAATATATGCATGCTTGTTATGTATTGAGTTGTTGAATTGGTTGGGCTGAAAATCAATTAGGTACCCTCTTCGTTTAAACTGGTAAACGATGAGAAAACAAAGGTCATGCTGCCCAAATTCTAGCTAAATCTCATGAGGAGAGGTTGGATGAGTGCTAGGATTTAGTTTTGGGGCATGGACATTTGTGGTTTGTAATGGGGATGCATTTTCCCCTAGGCTTGGACTTGAGAAATGTGGGAATTGGAATTCCCTGGCAGCGCGCTTAAGCGCCCAGGAGCGCGCCCAAGCGCCCTGCTGCCCCTGCGAGTGCCAATGCATTCTGCCTCCTCGCGCTGGAGCGCCCAAGTGGGGGCTTAAGCGCCCAGGATTGCGCGCTGGAGCGCCCTGGCGTGCGCTTAAGCGCCCCTTGCTGCAGAAAGTTGGGTGGCTTACTGCCCCCTCGTGTTTTAGCGCCCAGGGTGGGGCTTAAGCGCCCAGGGTTGCGCGCTTGAGCGCCCTGGTCCGCGCTTAAGCGCCCTTCGCCACTGAAGGAGGAGATGCTTCTGTCTCTGCGCGCTAAAACGTCCCCGTGGGAGCTTGAGCGCCCAGGCTAGCGCGCCTGAGCGCCCTGTTGCGCGCTTAAGCGCCCATCCACACTGGAAATGCTAATGCTTACTGCCTCCGTGCGCTTAAGCGCCCAGATGGAGGCTTTAGCGCCCGATAGCGCGCGCTTGAGCGCCCGGTAGCGCGCTGAAGCGCGCTGGGCCTGTGACCAACACTCTCTTGTGTTGCTTCAAATTGTCCTAACTTGGACTGCAGTGCTCCGATTTGAGCACGGTTTGAAGCCACAGGTAGCTAATGAAGAAACCTACAATATAGTAGAAGTATTGAACTAAACAAGAAGTAAATTAATGGTTTAAAAACGGGAAATGAACATGATGTTAAGCTTAATTTATCTGTTTCCGCAAGGTAATATGGTTATGATCACGAAATTGGGTATTATAAGTTCGGTACGTTTTAAAATGAAAAATTTATCCGGATTTTAATTGAACCCAGGTGATTGTAACTGCGCTTAATATCATAATGCGATGTTAACAAACCGGTTCTAGAACGGGGTGTCACATTCACCACTGTCCTTCACAAACTAACAAGGATTTGCGGATGAAGTGGTTTTGCTAGATTTAGAATGTTGTTAGTGGTCTTAAGGTCTTATTTGCTCTGCATCATCAGGTATGAATAAGATGGTTATAAATCATTTGGACAAGCTTTTTGTCATGAATGATGCTGCTACAATTGTAAACGAACTTGGAAGTTCAGCATCCTGCTGCCAAAATTTTGGTTTTGAACCGGAAAGGCACAACAAGAGCAAATTGGGGATGGAGCAAATTTAACTATTACATAAGGTGAAAAGTCATTTATTGAGTTGTTGCTTTATTAAAAAAAATATCAGACTCAAGATTGTTTATGTAATGCCATTTTTTAAAATTAATGTGTGAAAGTGTGGATGTTGTATTGAGTTTGCTATGGTTTGTGATTTTTTCCAAAATAATAGGAGGGCTACGTAACCTGAATTTCTATAAGCATTTGTTTTTTAGTCATGTTCTAGGCCTTGAGGAATCAATTGATATCAGCCTACGAGTAACATTATTTCTTTTATCTTGTGTCCCTTTTGATTCATTAAAGGCTTTAATTTGTTTATTTTTTAAGGGTACATGGGAACTGTACAAAGAAGTATAATACAAAAAGTAAGGATAGCTGGATTTTGAGATGTATTTAATTGATTTTTACGTACCATTTCTACTGAATCAGTGTTGTGTCATGCATGTTAACATTCTGTTGTTCAACTGTGAAGCTCAACTATTTTAGAAGAGTTATTTGTCTTTTTATAATACACCCTACTAATTTACGCACAGGATAACAGACCTGAATGGATTCCTCAGCAGCTCCTTTAATATCATGCAGAACCCAATTAGTTGGAGACCATGAAACTTCACCATCATCAGTTTGAAAATTGAAGTTTAAAGACACCCCTCCTTGAATGATGGCATCACCATATTCTCCCTCTGACATTGTAGTATGGAGCAATTCCACCTTACCACCATGCCACATTGGGGCCTTATAGGAGGTGATCAATCCACTTGGCAGCAACATAGTTGCAATGCTTCCATTTTTCAATTCCATCTTGGCAATGCAACTATTACCAACCCCTTCAAAGGTGACTCCACGTCCACTGAATTCTTCTTCCAAGTAATCAAAGTTGATAGGTTGGTTAGGTACTGAAGCCACAGCTGGGTGTGGAAACTCTCTCTTGCATTGGTTGTGTCTAATAAAACTAGCAGTACAAGGTAAACAAGTGTGTGAAGAAGGTATGTTACCAGCAGAAGTTAACATGGATGTGGGAATGGAACGACTGGAGCAAAAAAGTGAACTTAAAGCCATGGTCATGCTTCATACCAAATGAGGTCTTACTCTAGACTCTCTAGAGTAAAAGAGGATTTTCTTCATCTTGTTGGCTTGGCTAGAAATTGGACTATAAGTGGATAAGGTGATTGATATGATCGTGCTTTTGTTATTGCATATTAGTATCTCAGATATTTCTATATATTTTTGTAGCTTTTGTCTCTTTCTCAACACTTTGGCTTGTTTTTTTTTTTCCTTTTGCAATATATTGTGACTGGTACAACATTCAATCAAGCGGTATTTTTCCTCTGCTATTAAACTGAGTTGTGAGTTAACCCTTATTGAAATTTTAACTATAAGCTCAATAGCTTATATTTTCCCTTCTTCTTTTTTAATTGATTTTGTGGAAAAGGCAATCTGATCGTTTATTTCAAGAAACAGTATTCAAAGTTTAAACTTGTGATCATATTTTACTCCATTACTTGGGAAAATTTTCAATTTTCAAAGCTTAATGGCATCTTAATTCAATTGGCAGCTAACATACTATAACTATGATAAAATGTGGAGGGACGAAAATATGCAACATTCATTCTTGTTCTGTATTGTACATTTAATCGGCTTTCTCCCTATGAGTAGTGCTTTCATCACTTGGCACCAAAAACCCACATAGGGTAGTAGTGAAGTTATAAATCTAGGGCAATAATGATGGGCAAATGAACACCACCACACTCATAACACGAGGACTAAAATTAATTTAAATTTCCAGACCAAATGTATTTGTATTCCATGGAAAATCAAAATTCAAAATTTGTTAAGATAACAACACGCCTAAGGCCAAAATTGCCCTAGTTCGAGACTTTGTGTTGGGATACAAACATGACCAAAGCAACAACCAATTCTAACAATTTTAGTCTTCATCCATGCCAGCAGCAATAGTAGAAGAATATGAGATTCCCTAGCGAGAGAACAATAGCTGATGCTCACTGCTCTTCCTGTCTTTTGGAAAGTGGCAATCACAATGCATTCCATGACATTGCTGGAACAGTAATCTCACCAGTTCTGTCCAAATGTATGTACTCAGATAATGCATACCTGTGAGCACTAAAAATAATCCTGCAGACAATGGGCAGAGGCATGTTAAGGGATTTTCTCCTTCTCTTTATGCCATTTGTTCCCTATCCCCCATTCATGCAACTAATTTTTACTTTCTTTCAACATCATCATTCAAAATAAACCATCAACTAGTAAAAGAGATAATTTTACATTTGAGCAGCACCCCAATTGTCCAATACTTGACATTCACTAATCTAAACATTCAATATAAGAATACAAGCTGAATCAGCTTTCATGCAGAAGACCAAATAATCAAGCGCAATTTTAGAAACTATTTGCAACAAACTCCCACTAGATTATATCTTGGACAATGATAGTATAGCAATAAAATCAAATATTAACATGCAATTGTGGAAGTAACTCAAATTAACGTTTAGTATAAAAAAGTAGAGATAGGTTATTCTACCTATCATTTTTCTGCCTACCTTTGCCTACCCCTCTCCAATACCGTTAGATCAGAATCTCAAAAAGAGAGAGAAAGATAAATGTTAGTTAAGATTCTGATCTAACGGTGTTGAAGAGTGGTAGGCAAAGGTAGGCAGAAAAAATAGTAGATAGAATAACCTATCTTAAGAAAGTAATACTTAAAAGAAACTAAAGCATGTAGACTCCAAAAAAAAATTTATTTTGGGTTTTTTTTTTTTTGGAGGGAAAGAAGGGAGGTCACCAAATTAAAAAAATGCCCATTTGAGGCAGATGGTGAGTGACATCTAAACTCTACACTCTACAGCATGATGGTTTACCAAATTCACTGAAGCATACAAGTTCAAACCAAACCACGGAAAATCTGTCTTTTTGATGGATTGAAGGTTCGTATCATATTAGTCTCACCTTGGACCAATATTATTTTACATCAATCTTAAAGGAAAAAAGGTATCATTTCTCATAGAAGCATTCAAGCGCAGCATGACCCTTATTCAAAGTTTACTTCACTTAGACATACATATAAAACTTTGATAGAAAAGGAAAAGGGATCTGTAACATCCCCGTCTCGAGCCGGTTCAATTAACATACATATGATAAAACAGAAAACAGCGGAAGACTTAACTTACGAAAATACGAGTTAACTTTTTCTTTTTCTACTTTAATTCTTACTCGGGGTAAACGAAAATCGGGCAGAGTTTCCTCTATAAATCGGACAACTGGGGATTTTCCAATCCCACTCAGAAGCATTTCCTGATAAACAGTTTATACAGCATAGTAATCCAGAAGTACCAGTCATGCAGATACCATCAGATACCCATCCATAGGCGCATGCAAAATATGGCTCCGTGCCACTATCCTAATCAACATGCAATCCAATACGAAATCATAAACTGAATAATACATCATCATATAACGTGCCTGAATACCCAAATGTACATGCCTCCAAGTGACAGACATGTACAAAACATATACAGGCCATATACAAAATAAAGGATCAATATCGTGATCCATCAAATGCTTAAATACTAAAAGACATCAAACACTCCAAAAGGTAGTAGCCTACAGCCACTCAAAATCCGATCTGTCGACTGCCTCAGCCACGTGTCGTGTCCCTGCCTAGTGAGGATTCACCGGGAATCTGGGCACCTGAAAATATGTCCCCAAAGAGGGGTGAGATTACAAATCTCATAAAGCTCCAGGTTTATAGAGAATTCTCCATACCCCTGGCTCACTCCTGCATGAAAGTCAGATACAGAGTATACAAATACAACATATAGCAGATATCATAACAGAACAGAGCATATATCCATATCATATCAGAGATGTGCGCCGTCATTCCCAAGGGAGGACCCCAAGCGGAAATCAACGCACGTGTTCCCGAGGGAGGACCCCAAAGCGGAACCAGACATATCAGAGGCGTACACCATCAGTCCCGAGGGAGGACCCCAAAGCGGACATCCGGGTACTATACAATCAATGGCCAGAGATTGTTACAGAAATCATATTACAGAAGTCATATCAGAGCAAAACATATCATGTTATCAAATAACTCTATATGAATGCATCTATACAAAGCATCTAAATCACAGTCATACAGTCCAACCATAGTTCACTAACCATGGTGGAGCACTCAAGCAGGAAAAGACTCCTTAAACATAGAGCTTACCTCTTGAAGCTTTACCAATACGCTTACTTGTGGACCAAGTTACTTTTATCGCTTCAAGAGATTTCCGATCCTTCTCAATCCCTAGGCACACCTAGAGAATAATTTACAATGCATCAATAAAATGATACTATGCCATGATTATTTCATAAGCATACATTTTATCGCTTATTTTCCTTTCTTTATACTTTTGCCAATGTTATGCCAATACACATATAATGACCCTAAATGGTAAATCTTAATTAGAGATTTAATTTAAGGATTTAAATGCCATAATTAGATTCAGTGAGTGATTCCGAGTATTTTGACTGTAATCATGACTATGTTATGAACAGTGCGTTCTGTCGGATAATTTACAGTTTTGTGAATTAACCGGTAGATCTTAAAAGAGCAAAATAATTTTAGAGACATAATTTGATAATTCTGAGGACAAAAATGAGTTCAGAATGAAAAATTGTATAGTCTGGCACTTTCCGTGAAAATCTCGTGAATAGTGTTTCTACCGGGTATTTTGTACTGCTGTTTAAGCAGGTAGAGTCCAGAAATAAATAATTGATGAAATAAGAATAAGAAAGTCCAATATATGCCAAGCAAGTCAATATAGGCCCAAGAAAATGATAAGTTTATAAGTTTTAAGTTTCATAAGTAAATGAAGTACAATTAGTGATTCACAGTGCATTTCGTCAAAAATGGTGCAAAAATCATACTGTGAATTATGAATATTGTTTTGTAAGAATTAAAAAGTAATGTAAATGATTTTAGAAAAATAAAAATATGTCAGTAGCTTTAAGTTGGTTCCGGGTCAATTCAAGTAAAAATACGCGATAGAAAAACATCCGATAAAGCCACAAGTATTTATAAAACATAAGTGGCTTACAAAAATCACTATTCACATCTAAAAAAACTGCTCTCTTCTCTCTCTTCTGCCCGAGGATCAGCCATGGGAAGGGATAGGGTTTGCTTTGTTTCATTTCTTGATTTCTCCATAAATCCTACACTAAATCATTGACCCATTATACCAATTCCATAGGAAATCACCTAAGGAAGCCATTCCACCCCTCCATTTGAGCTGATTTCGTTTGTGGAGGGAGATATTCATCACCCCATTTTCGTGCACTATTCATCCAAGGTGGAAAAAGTGAGTTTTTGATGGAGCTTGGCTTGGAGGTTGCTTTCTAGGCTTTGGGAAGTTGATTAGTGGTAAGAAACCTTTGTTTCCATGATGTTATTTTGATGGTTTGTGTCATAGAAATTGTGAGCATGTGTTGGTGTGAAATAAATTAGTTTAAAATTTGAATTGATGATGGATTGATGATGTGTTGGATATAGGAATGTGGAATAAGCATATGAACATGTATAAAAATTGGAAAAAAAAATCCCATGGTGACATACCCTAGATTTCGGCCTTGATAGGGTAATTAGGGGTGATGCACAAAGATTTATTGTATGTATTGGGAAGATTTAATGTGCTTGAATAAGAGGAAATTTGATGAGTTAGTAAGAATGTTAAATTTGAAAGAAAATCCTTTGAAACATACCCTTGATGTTTCGGCCTTGAAGGATTTAAAGAGCTTGAGATTCCCAAAAATTAAATAGGAACTTGGTATATATTATATATTTATGTACGTGTAGTTGTTAAATTAAGTGAGGAAAATGTATTGTAAAAGAGAAGGATCCTTGGAAATCCCCTTAAAGGATTCGACATATAGGGTGTTTAGGGAAAGATGTTGTCATATTTTATTTTAATAAAATATGTGTGTTTCAAAGTATGAAAATGATAAGTCATGAAATGAAATGGTTTGAAAAGAAATCATGGAAAAATATATTGATTTCCTAATTTTAGGCCCACGGTCCTTTAAAGTAAAATGCTATGATTTATGTTGGAAATTCGTAAGGAAATGGATGATTAAAT